CACGAACCTCACAGTGGACGGAGCTGACAGGTTAGATTCTCATTCTGCTAACAGAAAACGCAACCTGCAGCATGTACCATCTGAGGTAGGCACTCTGGGCTCTAACACCGTCTGTGACAGTGTACTCTGACATTCGGCCAGGCAAGCTGCAGGCGCTGTACAGAGTTAACCTGGCTCACGACACGAGAAGGGTAACACCTCACACCAGCACTGCAGGAGGTACCAGGGACCCTTGGCACCACGTATATGCGCTATATTCATAGCAGCTACTTTAACTTGTCAGTAACGTACAGCACACATTTAATGCACTATCACAGCAGAGGAAAAATAACTCACAAGAAAATAAAATCAGTAGAAAATAAACCTGTTTTCAGAGAGGTCAGAGTTCTGCAAGGGCGAATGATATTATGACATAAACACTGTTTCTATCCACAGCCTTAGTTATTGCCTAATGACCAGAATAACAAGCATATCTTTTCTTAACATATATTCTGGAGCCAGCCACATAGCTCAGTGGACTAAAACAGGTGCTTAGGCAGAGCACAGCAGCCGGGGTTCAATCCTCAGCGTGCCATGCCGGCCCCACCCCCGGGTGCACTAAGACGCCAACTGAGACTAGACGTGGTGGTGTGCACCTGTAATCCCAGCCTTGGGAGGCTGAAAACAGAAGAATCACTACGAGTCTGATCTACATAGTGAGACCCTGTACAAAATACACTATATATATAATCTCCTGTCCCATTAAGCTTTAGTTCTTTAAGCAGCTTGAGAACAGCTCCAGAGTGACAAAGGTGGGACAGTCTTCTCTTAGAAGAGGTCCTCTACTGCAGAAGCAGTCCTCAGGAGACCTCTACTGCAGAAGCAGTCTTGCTCTATACTAGGGAGGGAGGGAGGAAGAGAGGAAGGACAAGAAGAGTCTAAACATACAGGCCCTGCTAGGCGTCCCAACCCAGTCCCCTGTCCCACACTCACACCCTGATGCCCAAGCCCGAGTCTACACAGCTGTCTGCACCAACTGTGCCTCGGCAGCGTGGTCTCCACGAAAACCAAAGCTCCGGCTCCCAAGAGCACCCGGCCAGCAAAGCACACGGCTGGGCACATTCAGGAGCTTGGGGAGGGGTGCTGTGGGCGGGGAGCTCCACAGGGACTGCAGTGTCCATGCTGGGGACTTTTGCTCTCTTTCCCATGTACCTTTCACCTGGCTATTCATCTGCATCCTTTAAAACTGCCTGTCTAAGAATCTGTTAGTGCCTGCGAGTCCTGTGAGTGGCTCTAGGGAACTCATGAAAGCCAAGAAGGGTACCATGGGAACCCCAACTGGCATCTGGTTAGCCAGCAGCTGCAGAGGCCTTTCCCACGAGTGTCTGAAGGGACACAGTCGTGTGGACCAAGCCCAGAGCCGCGGGCTCCGGCTCTATGATTCAGGAAGACAGTGCTAGAATTTTACAGAAAAAGGCCACTCGACTAGTATCTACTGCAGAACTAATCGCCCACTTGTTGGTGGGGAGTAGATCCCCCAAGTCTGGGGTCACAGACTGGTGTTTTATGAGCACACAATAAAGCTGAGCCTCAGTGGGGGAGAAACACCAAGGCAGAGGGGTCATGATTGAACACATGCAGGAAGGGGTGCTAGGAGAAACTGTACCCAGGGCCAGCAGGTCAGGAGGGAAGAATGAAAGACAACACAGGAGGCAGGTGAGGAGGAAAGGGCTGCAGCGCTGGTCCCCACCACCCTGGGCAAGGCAGTGAGGGGCCTCGTGCAAGCATCAGGGTGGCCGAGCTGCAGGACAGGAGGCATTCTGTCCTCTGGCTTCACCTCTGTACTTGGGATGGGGCGCTGAGCAGGTCGACTGCACGTTCTGCACGCTATTCATTAATTTTTTTTAATATTTATTTATTTTTATTTATTACATTTATTTATTGTGTGTGTGTGTGGCCAGCTCAGCCCACCAGGGGGCGGGTCTGGCTGGCATGTGGTGCTGGGGATCGAACCGCGGTCCCTGTGCTTTGCCAAGCTTGTTTCAAGTAGGTGCTTTAGACCACTGAGCCATCTCTCCAGCCCCTAATTTTTTAAATTTATTTTTATTTATTTTTTGGTGATACCAGGGATTGAACTTGAGACCTTGTACTTGCCTGGCAGGTGATTATGCTGCTGAGCTATATCCCTGGCCCTAATCATAACTGATTATATAGTTTCATTTGCCTGTTTTATAAAGCCTGCTGAGTTAGAATACACGCTATGCACTGTGAATTAGAGACAGCAAACCAATGAACATACACTGCACTGGCACGTTCACCGCCGGGGAGAAAACACAGAGGCCGAGAGCACTTGGCTCACAGTGCTCGCAGCGAGAGGTCCAAGGGAAGGCTGGGGCCTTGGCTGCTTCTGTGCTCTGGCCTATCATCCAGCCGGGCCTCTGTACCTGTGGAGGACAGGCTCTGGGCCCCCAGATTCCGAATCCAGGATGCTCAACAGTTTTGAAAGCACAGTGTTTGCGTATAGCCTACCATCCTCCCATGCATGTACTTTAAACCTGCTACAGATTACTCACAATACCTAAGACAACAGAGACTGGGTGTTAAGCTGTACTGTTCAGGGACTATCACAAGAAAAATTTCTCTGTAAATTCAGTGAGCATACAGATTACTGAGTATTTTCAATCCACAGGGGCTTAATCTAAGCATGAACCCATGAACACGGCGTGCTGACCTGGCTGGGGCGCAAACAACTACCTCAGGCTAGCGGCACACCAGCATGAACTGCACGCTCTGGAGGCTCAAGTACTTAGCAATTCGCTGTCTCCTTCACTACATGGCCTGCTGAGGACTGATGCTTACAGAGAAGCTTCCCAAAGTGCCTTCTCTGTTTTACGAGCAAACATCACTCCAGGAGACTGAAACCACTTAAAACCTAACCCAAATCACCATGGCACGCGACGATTTCATTTTCCTTATTTCCAGGTCTTTTTCTCTGAAAGTCACAGTGATTACAATAGCAACACTTGGTGCTTCCTGCACGCCAGCCCACTCGCCACCCAGCTCCAGGGGAGTCAAAGATCACCTCATTCAGCCCCCTCACGGCCCTGCCCCCCCCAGCAATAAAGCCGTTTTTCCAAGGTTACACTGAGAGCAGGCGAACCTGATTCTTGACTCTGTTCAACTACTGTTCCGTGCGTGCTAGTCAGCTTTTGTCACTGCAACAAAATACCTGGGATGACAGCTTACAAAGAGGAAGCGTGCAGCTGCGGCTCTCGGTTTCTGGCTTTAGCCTGTGCGCACGGGGCTGTTTCCTTTCAGCCTGTGGTGATGCAGCACACGTGGGAGGAGGTTTAGCAAAGAGCGCAGCTCCCCTCACAGCCAGGGTCCCTGTGTCTCCTTCTAGGGCACAGGTCCACTCCGTCCATGAGGCCCAAAGGGTCCAGACCTCCAACAGCACTAAAGGCTCTCCTGGACACCCTGAGTTATATAAACAGAAGGGATTTACTTCGTAAAGTTTGGAAATGAATGCCTGGCAAGCACAGGGTCCTGAATTCCATCCCTAGCACCACACAAAAAAAAGGACATGAGGAAAAAACGGTTTCATTTTGAAGCCAGAACAACAATCAACCAGTGTCACAGTCTGGGTATTTGCAAGGGAAGCAATACAATACAGGGCACATTTATAATAAATTGCCCAAAGAACCATATAAAAAGGGTACAGGGAATCTGCCCACACAATAAGGACCAAAGAATCCAGCTGAAGGCCTGGATCCTAATATCCTGCTGAGTCCAGCTGAAGACCTAGAGCCCACAACAATGTCTCATGCAGGCCTGCTTCATGGATCTGTGCTGGGAAGGCCTATAGGTCAGGGGTGGAAGCTAGGAAGTGTGCGCCAGCGGGACGAAGGCTCTGTGCCAGCAGCTGAGGGGTCTGCACTGAGCCAGGAAGCGACACTCAAGGCAGCACCAGAGCTCCTCAAGAAGTACCACGGCCATCCTCAGCGGCAGTGAGTCCCGAGCTCCTCCCGCAATGAGGAAAGCTAGTTCCCATCAGGAAAGCCAACGCAACAAGCTTCTCCAGGAGGCTGAGCAGGGCACCATCTTCCCCTCTGGAGACAGAAGTGATGCTCAGTGAGGACCAGAGCTCCCCCAAAGTGAACTGCAGGCCTTCTCAGTGACAAGGTCCTGAGCTCCTCCTTCAGCAGCAAGCACAGCAAGTTCACCAGAAAAGCCAGCATGACAAGGTCCCCCAGCAGAATGGCCCAGGAGAGCCAGCATCTCCCAGCTCCCCCCACTCTACCTCTTATGCTGCTGGCAACAGCCCTCAGGTGGGCATACCATACCCAGTACCTCGCTAGTTCAGTACAGCTGATATAACAAGCTGGCCACCAGTTACTGATCCAGTAGCACCAGAAGACAGCAGAAAGCACAACACCCGCCTACCAGAGTCCCTGTGGACCAGTAAACGCCTCAGTCTTGGTCTCCTCACCTGGACAGTCCCCTCATATGGAAATACAGGAATGTGGACTTATTCAGATGAGCTGGCTCATAATGAGCATTTAGCATGGGGCTAAGCTGTTCCTAAATCAAAAATAAAATACACCTCATTTCTTTCTTTTTTTTTTTTTCAAGTTTCAGCAAAATAATTTTATTTTCTAACACATGGTAACATATACATCCAGTATGTGTTCACCTGCACATGTACCTATTCACAAATGACTTCCAAACCACAAGCACTCTGATCCTTAAGTATGAACTACTGAAAGTTACCTTCACTGAGATGGGAAAAATGGTTTCAGACAGATCACATTCTGAATGTATTGGACTGGTCACAGCAAAATGGCTTTAGTCAGATGACATCTCTACATCTAGAGCTTTGGAAAGCTACTACTTTTGTATCTAATAATTCCAGATGAGCAGGATGCAGCAATATCAGTTTGTCTTTTTTTTCTTTTTTCTTTGAGGCAGGGTCTTGCTTATAGCTCAGGCTGCCCCTAAACTCACTGTATAGCCTAGGCTGGCCCCGAACTTTGGGCAATCCTCCTGCCTCAGCCTCCCAAGTACTGGGATTACAGGCATGCGCCACCATGCCCGGCTCTCAGCTGTCTTCTAAAGAAGTTTCATCAGTTTTTCTGGTGATGGAACCACTTATCCACATCTGTTGGTACGGTGCAGGCAGAGTCACATGGTGGTGGTAATGCGTCCACGATGGCCTTGGCAGCGTCAGGGTCACATTTGAAAGGGCTCTCAGACACTGTTGTGTTCATGCAACTGATTCCTTTCCCATCCGTTTTCTTAGTTACTAATGCTTTCCAGTACTCATGAGTGCTTTTAATGATATCAACTGCAAAGTCCTTATCTTTAAATTCCGCATTGAAAGCAAACTCATTTTCTGGTTTTCCATCAGGAACCTTGTACCTTCTAAACCAGTCCACAGTAGCTTCTAGGTAGCCAGGTTTCAACCGTTCGACATCACTGATATCATTGTAGTTGGCTGCATCAGGATCGTCCACACTAATGGCAATGACTTTCCAATCAGTCTCCCCTTCGTCAATCATAGCCAGGATGCCCAGGACTTTCACCCGGATGATCTCGCCTCTTGTACACACCTTGCTTCCAATTTCACAAACATCAATTAGGTCATTGTCACCACTACAGCCAGTATGTTTGTCACTGTGTCCTGGGTCTTCCCAAGTCTGAGGGATGGCACCATAGTTCCAGATATACCCTTTATAAGGGAACAGATTTGCAACATAACGGAGTTTGCCCTTTTTCACATCTTGCTTAATTGGATTCAGAGGGTCCTTTGCAGCAATCTCCATTTTTGCATTAGACCAGCGTGGAACTTAAACTACCATGTGGAACACGTCCTTATCTGCATAAATCGGAATATCGTGAAATGGAGATACATACTGTCCTTTTTCATTTTTGAGGAAGACGCGGTACTCGAGGGTGAAAGGCGCCGCGCGCTCCTTGCTGGTGAAGCTGCTCATGGTGCTGACGACCGCCGCCACCGCCACCGACGAGCCACCAACCCGCACGCCACGGAGTGACAAGGAGGGAGCCCGCGCCTGCGCACCGCGACAGTCGCGCCGGGAGCGGGCGGAGCGGCCTTTAACGCGGCGGGCTCGCCCCCTACACCTCATTTCTATGCTTTAATAAAAGCATACATTTATAACATCAAGTCTCATAGCAGCAATAATTTTCTCTATCAGTTTTAGAGCAATAATTTTTTAAACTTTTAGTCATCTTCCACCATTAATCATATAATGTTTCCATGCTTTTATGATTCTTAATGTTAAAACAAACATCTCTGCATATAAAACTTCAATTGTATATCGTTCCCACAGGTGAACTCAGAAACGGGCCGATTATGTCAAAGATTCCTTATATACAGTACAAAAGTCGTTTCCAAAACAGTTTTGCCTATTAATCTTCCCATCAGCAGTCTTTTAACCCTCACACATAACTGTACCATAGCCAGAACTGGGTGATTTCATGAAGGAAAACATTTTTTCACTAATTTGGTCTAAGATACAATGCTGTACAGGTATACTAAAATATGAATCATGCAGAAATCCCAATGGCCGAACAAATACATTCTGGGGAAAGACCCTGAAAATCTGCGCAAATAAAGAGTAATTCTGACTACACTCATAACAAAAATATGAAAATTCTGTGTCCTCTGCTTTCTAGAGGATTAACTGTAAATACAAACTGGTAATTGTGCATTGGTCATTTTAAAGTTACTGCTAACGTTATCTCAGGTGATTGCTAAGTAGTAAACATAATTGTCTGCATTCCACTAAGAATCGCCCTCAAGCCAAGCAGCTAAATCTGGCTATTTTTTTTTTCATAATTTTATTGATAAACAAATAGCAATGAGACAGTTTCAAATCAAATCGCTAGGACAGTTTCAATAATTAACACACTGCATACAT